GAAAAGTGTCCTAAAAGTTTTTGTTGTTTAAAAAATTACTTACGTGGGTAAGTATTCTTTCGAATCTATGACATTTGAAATCTAAGTCATGCGAAAATATTAACACTTCCGTATGCAATTCCATATAAATTTATATACAATTACCGGGCGATCTAAGAGGTTAAGTGACTCCTATTCGAAAATAACTCAATGAATAAAGGTAAATGAAATATTTAAAGCAAAATAAGCCTGCTATATTGGATTCAAAATTTCATGTTCTTATAATGACTTAAGCCGAAATCGAACTGGAATGATCAAAAATATATTTCATAAAACTTGAAAACGAGTCACGACTACACATCCCCGAATAGTTGTATAAGAATTCTTTAAGTTTATTTTTGGTCAATCTTATAATACAATCTTTTTTTGCCAACACACATGAATTTGTATTATTACAACTAAGTTATAGAGCAGTTATTCTTTGTCATACTTATTGTGGTATATGTACTGGGTGGAGCAGTAACGTGGTATCAGCAATGCGACTAAGTGGCGACTTTATTTATTATAGAAATTGTTTTTGCTTTTCAGGTACTTAATCAAATTCTCTACATCGTTTCAGCTTCAGAATTCAATTTAGTTTAGTTGCCCTTATTTAATAAAGTTTCCCTTTGTAAGCTAGAAGAATTTCCTTTGAATAACAAGGACCTTTAACTGTTATGAGAACAAAAATTTAAATAAAAGAATTTGATATAATATTTTTTTAAAAATTTCAGATTTAATTTTTAAACTACATACAACAACGTGGTGCACATACGGGAGCTCGAAAGCAAAGTGGGTTAGCTTAACCAGCTACCTTACTAGTGGGTTAAATATGCATATTGTACCAAATATTTTGGAATTCATGGTTAGATCAATTACTTAACAATTCGATTGTAAAAACAACTCTGTCCTTTAAAAAAATATTTTACGGTAAATTTCTCAAAAAAATTTCAATTTAGTAAGCAAATTTTTGTAATGAAGCACATTTTAGCAATAATTTTTAAAAATTTCAAAAACATAAAATATAACCCTTGTAAATTAAATGTAAACTTCAACTTTACATCAATAATATTTTAAAATATTGAAAGATTATATTTTTAAAGCAATTTAAGAGAAACCGAGAAGAAAAAATTTTATTTTATTTATTTTTCCTTTTTTTTTCTATGCTCTTTATTTTTCTACTCAATTTAAAGGGTATTAAATATTTATTAAATATTTTAATATTTTTAAGTCATAACTTTTACTATTTTTTTTTATTTTTATTTTGTATACATACTTTTGTACTTAAAGTTTATTTAAAAGGCAAGCAACCGAACCAATATTTTCAATACCAAGGCTACGAAGCAGAAAAAAGAAGGACATCATGATTTTACATTTTTACTTTTTTTAATTTTTACTCTATAATTTTTCTTTTACTTAACTTTTTTTTTAGTTTTCACAGAAATTTTTGTTTGTTTTTTCATATTCATAATACGAAGAATAATATTCCATACAAGGTGTTGGGTATTCAATAATAATGCCAGAGTGCTATAATGAATCCAGATAAACCGAAAATAGAAAGAGACATTTTCCTTTTTTCGCATACGTTCTGAAGCTCTTTTGGTCTAATTAAAGTTGGCCAAATAAGTTCAAAGTGAAAAATATTGAAATTTTTCTGATTTTGATATAAAATATTAGCTAAAAATTTTAGGAATAAACATGTACAAGAAGCGAAAAGCTGAGATCAATTTAGTCAAAAATTAAACAAATAATATGATTTTTAGAAGAATTCAGAAAAATACGATTTTATGAACTATGAGAAAAAGGAGAACGTCCCATATATACTATTAAAACGTTCCTTAATGCAAGAAAATGAAAAACGTCTTGGATATTATTTTTTGTTTGTCTCAACTAGTTCCATCGCCCTGTTACGGTAATACCATAGAATCTTCAACACCTTATTTAAAATTATTTTAAAATTGCTCCCTTGCATACACAACTTATCCCAAACATTAATAAAAAATCATGCATATACGTATGAATGAATGTAGGTACAAAATATAGGTACAATATGTCATTATAAGCCTTATGATCCTTTTTTTTTCTGTTATTTTTCTGCTCTTGGTTTCCCATTTTCCTTACATACTATGACTTTTTTGTTTTTCTTTTTTTTTCAAAAATTTTGATTGCTATCATAATTTTAAATTTGTTTATATTACCTCTTTACCAACAAAAAGTCCTTGGAGCATAATGTCTGATGAACTGGAAATATTTTAAATAAATTCATGTACATACCCATACATCCATAACCTAAAAATATAACATAAATATATCAATAAATTTTTCATATATTTAAATATTCTGTATGTATGTATGTATGTGTACATAAGTAAATCCTTTTTTTTTAGAATATGGTGCTGATTCGTTGTACTTTTTTTCTGTTTTTTTTTTAAAGTCAAACAAATTTTCTCAAAGGAAAAATTCAATAAAAATTTAAGGAAATTTGAAAGGAAGTTTTTGAATTTATTGTTTATTATATTTTCTTTTTATTTTATTTTTTTTTCTGTTCCTTCTTGATTTTTGGTCTATAGGTATCCGCTTTAATATTTGTTCCATTTTGTTTTTTGCTTTGTTTCAGAAAGAAATTTTTTCTGTTTGCTTATATTTGAATTTCTACTTTTGTACTTAGAAATGATTTAGAAATAAAATTGGTTATTAGAAATTTACTATGGTATTAAAAATAATTTTATTTTGTTATAAACGAGAAAGGTTGTTTGAAAAAAGTGAGTTGGAAATCATAAATTTCGGAAAAATTGAATTTTTATTAAATAATATTAATAAAAAATATTGTTATGCAATATTTTAATTTTTAACAAATTGAAAATACAATTCAAATTCAGTAGTCGCTTTGTTACCTAATTTAAATTAGATCCATTTATTAATTTTATTTATTAAATTAAAATAAATTGGAATTAAACAAATATTTCTCATATCAGCATTTTTCCCTTGAAAAAATAAAATATTTTCCCTAACAAGCTTTCATTAATAAATCAAAATTATTGCTTGCAAAAAAAATTGCATACTTTTAGGAGAAAGTATAAAAAATAAAAATGTTAATTTATAACGGTTGAATTCGAAGGATAAGCAAGTGTGAGGTAAATAATTAAATTTTTTGATACCATGATGTTATTCTATTTGTTGTTTTTATAAAATTCGGAAAAAGTTGTCACTTCAAAAATATAAGAAGTTGAACATTGAATTTATTTCCAATTTTTGGAGGCGATAATTTGAAGAGAAAGGAAGATGGAAAAAAACTTGTTCTCATTTTCAACTTTCAAAGTCTTAAACTTTCAAAAGATAACAGTTGTAATCGCAATGTGGCTATATAGTTGTGATAGCAAATAACTATTTTTCCGCATTTTTGAAATTGTTTGTAGTTTTGATACAATAAATATTTATTTGAAATGTATGTCTAAAAAATTTCTCCTACAAAATTAGTTTTTTTTTGTCTTAAAAGGTAAATAAGCTTTGAACACACGTTTTTTTCTCTCAAAGAAGAAAAAGGTGTAGGAAGTAGATAAAGATTTTACTCTAAAACAGTAGCTTTCTTGCAAAACTATTTCTCTAGAAGGAGATCCTTTATTGAGCTTGCTATTTTAAAAATGTTAAAATTTTGTAAACAAATGCACAGACTAATGTTGAGAATTCTAAAAGAACATTTTTTATTGTTCTTATACTGCCCTTCTACACCAGTATAAAAGTTATCATCTTTTTTATTATCTGCTATAGAGCTAATTAATTGTTATTGATATCTGTAATTTAGTATTTATAACATAACCATCATCGTATAATGATTTGAATATTATCATGTAATGTGCCTAAACTTTTGACCTCAAACCCTAGATTTTTCATCTAATCTAGATTCTTATTTGCAATGTCATAATTTTTGAACAATATCTCGCAGGTGTTATGATCTCCATCTCTCAAAACTTCTTTATTTGCGCTATGATTTTCATCTTTAACCTTTAACAGAAATCGTAAAATTCTGAAAATATTTCTTGATTTTAATAATTTCTAAATAGTCCTTTATTAATTACATTAATAATATCGACAATTTGTATTAATGTTTTAGAAATATTTATTAAAAAAATCGAACTTTAAGTCGAATAAAATCGAATCCTACTTAAAATGGAATTTTAAGTTTATGAAATACAATGGCTGGTACCAAATTTAAAAGTTAGAAAACAAGGTTGTGTAAGAAATTTATGAATTTTTTTGCTTTTATAATAACGCATAGTATAATTTTATCTCTTATTTTTTATATTTTACGAACTCAAGATTTAAAAATTTCCAAACCTTAGTTAAGTTACCATTCCATTTAATTATGTATGAAGGCACAGAAATACCTTACAATTCGCAATAAATCATAAAGAGAATTAAGAAATGTTATTTGAAATACAGACCCAAAACAAAACAAAATTTCTCTTAAATAATAATAATCTCAACAAAAAAATAAATAATATTTTTTACTACACTACACATTCTCTTTATTTTAAAATTATTTCTCTGTTTACATATTCAATTCTCTCTTCACAAATTTTATATTTTATATTATACACATTGTTGCTTATATGCCAGTATTGAATTCTAAATTTCTCTCTTAAAAATACTACCACAGCAATTCCGAAAAATTCTCACATTTTCAGTGTTTTCTTTTAGTTAACGAATATTTTCAATATTCTGTTTCCTTTTCTCTTTCATATAATATCCTTTTTACTATTTATTTTTTTCTTTTTCGTTTTATCTTTTGTATATACCTTTATAATTTTTCTAACAATCATTGTTATATTCTATGGTTTATTCACAAAAACAAGAAAAAATAATAAAAATATAAAAACATGTGCTGTAATTTTTATTTTTATTTTGTTAAGTTGAAATTTCAATGAAAAACAAAAAACGGAATAATTTCAGTTCATTTTGAAACGGTACCGGTGATAAATCATTGGAAATTTTTTAAGCGGATAAAAAAAATATATCAATTTTTTTACGTTTACATTTTTTGCGAAAAATTTATTGAAAAATATAAAAAGAAAATTGTAAATTTTTACGTGATTATCAAAAGTTTGGAAAAAAAGGAATAAAACAAATAATTTTGTTTTTTATTTTAAAAAATTATAAAAATATGTAAAAAATTTTTATTATTTTAAAACTACATTTAAAATAAATAAAAAAAAAATTATTTTATTATTTTTTAATTTGCATGGGCTTAAAGTAAACAAAACATAAACACAAAGCTAGCAACAGTAAAAGGATATACGAAAAATATTTAGAAAAATAGCAAAAGAATAGAAAAAATCAGTGTTAAAATTTTTACTTAAAGAAATTTTGTTTTTTGTCTTTAAAATTAAATACGTGAAAATCTTTAAATTAAAAATTATTTTGGTTACTTTCTTCAACACTATAAATATACAATAAATACAAAAAGTAGAGAAAAAGAAGAAGATGTTCTGAAAATACAAATTTTATTCTATTTTATATTTTCTATAGCCCTACATATTTTAATATTTTACAAAAATTCTCTCTTGAATTGAGAATCAACTTTTTCTTTTTCAAAAATAATTATTATTATAAAGATTTGATTAAAAGAAATTAAAAATAAAAGAGAAAAGAAGAAAAAATATTAAAAGAAAATTAAAATTATTAGAATTATCCTTACTATATATACAAACATATAAAATATAACAATATCGTAAATTATATATAGCCTAGATTCTATGTGATTCTTATTTTATGTGAAATAAAAATTATTACTGAAAGGAGAAGCAAATTTTGTGTTGTATTTTTGTTTTTTCCTTTTTTTGGGCTATTTCATATTAATAATAATGAAAACATAAAATAAATATAATATAACAAGTGAAAATAAAAATAAACATAAATTTACATAATATACAAAAAAAATTAAAAAAAAAAACAAGGAATCCTTACAAAAAATAAATTAAAAATAAAAAATAAAAGAACAACTACAGCAGCAGTAGCAGCAGCTATTAACTATGATGTTATAAATATAAGGATAATACAAAAAAAAAATAAAATAATAACAAAAAACAAACAAGAAATTCAAAAACAAAAAAAAATAAAAATTAAAAAAAATAATAATAACAATACGAAAAAAGGAGAAAAAAAGCAAAAAATTTGATTTCAGGACTTTTGGATGTTAGTATTAGTGAAATGGACAATGTTTGATATTAAATTTTTCATTTTGAATATTTTTATTTCCCTTGTGTTCCATTCACCAAAAATATCCTGTAGCAATCTAAATTATAACGGTAAGTATTTTTTTATACATAATATACAAATATATATATATATAAACAAACTATATAAAACGTAATATATACAACATATATTACATATGTTAATATTGTTGTTAACATACAATCAAACAAACAAACAAACGAAATTATTTATAATTCATAATTTTATTATATTTCGAATACAACGATGTATATGTGTGTATGTATACAAGCAACGTCATTATTTAACTATATATATATATATGTATATATGTATATAATGTGTGTATATTAATGAGTATGTAAGTATTTATGGAAGTGGCAAAGAAAATTTAACATTTGCTCTTTTAGACAAGGATGTTTTGTTTTGTTTGTTGGTTTTCTCTTTTATTTTTGTTTTTTTTTTTTTCGTTATTTGTGCTTTTCTTTTCTCTGTTCATATATGGGTTCTGGTGGCTGGTAATTCTTATATCTTCATACCCACAATACACTTATTATGGATATTAAATTTTAATATTAATATTATAAAAAAAGGAAAAGAAAAAAATTGAAAGGTAAACAAGAGTTTTATTTAAAGGCGCAGAGAAAAACGGGAAAAAAGGAGGAAAAAGAGAAAAATAAAAGTACAAAAAAAAAACCTTAAATAATAAAAGTGTATATAGGTAAAAATGGTTTTATTTAGTTTTGTTGTTGTTGTTGTTATTGTTTTTTCTTTATTTTTGTGTTTAGAATTGAATTTTTTTCTGTTTCTCTTGTTCTTATTATTTTATTATTATTATAACATTATATATTTGAAATAATATACTTATGAATTTCTTAACAGTTAATAAAATATTCTTTTGTATATATTCGCCAAATTTTTGGTTTTATACTCACATACATAGATATACATATAAAATATGTATTTTATGTACATATATAGAGTAAAGAGGATAGCAAACATGATTTTTTTTATTATAAATAATATTATTTTTTTGCTATTATTGTTTACAATATTATATTGTAAAATATTATTTGATTATGTTGTTATATACCGCAGAATCTGTCAGAGACGGAATCGCAAGGGAATGAAGTTAGTTAGGTTTTACGGAATAGACAAGTTTTTTTGAATTAAAAATAAAAATTTTCTAAATTGTCCTATCTTCTTAGTATTTATACTTTTCTCTGAGATATTTGATTAGTTAGCAAATAAGAGCAATAACGAAATTTTTTCAAAAAGCAATTCCGGCATTTCCAAGTTCAAAGTGACGTTTCGATTATTTTTAATTTTTAATTTCGACGAAATAGGGATTTAAAAATATGCTACGTTTTTTGGTTTTAATTTAAAAAATAATAAACATTTTATTTTCTAGAGAAGCGGTATATAATACAATTAATAACACATGGTATTCACAATCATTGTTTACACATGGTAATCGCAATAAAAGCCCCGCAACTTGCAATTTTGCTATGTGTATGCTTTTTAACATGGCAACATTGTAATATACTACCAATTAATTCATATTTTATACAAAAATTGAGTATAATTTGAATCCAAATTTCAAAAATGTTAAAATTTTCAAATGTGGTAATTTTACTTTTTGAATGCAATGTACAATTTTTTGTATTTAATATAAAGGAGAACGTGATAATAAAATTTGATACAATCATGAATTTGATCCTTATTACTATATGCTATTTTATATTATACTATATTATAAAGTGAACCATTAGTTATTAAAATGAAATTTATGAATGAAAATATTCTCAGATTCAGATAATTTTATATATATTAAATGACTACACGCTTACTACTATACATAAACATTATAAACATACATATGTAATATACAGGTATATATTATTTTAGTATTCCGGAAAGAAAGAAAATAAAATTTACCATCATATTAAGATCTTAATACCTTGTAAAAACAATAGTATAATAAAATAAAAATAAAAAGCAAAAAAAAATTAATAATATAATAAAAATGTCAGGTAAAAATGAAAAAAGGATAATATGTTTACGAGGGGAGAAAACGAGAAGGAAATGTAATGAATATTATGATTTGAAGAGTCCGTGTTGATTTTAGTAAAATGTTGATTGCTTTCATATATGTATATTTCAAACATTTATTTAAGATTAAGATTTGTATTTTTAATTTTGAATAACATAGAGGAACTACATGGATAATATGCATTTCTTGGTAGTAATAAAACTTTATGATACAAGAAAAAATTAATTTGTAAATTGAGATATTTTATTAACGCTATATAGATTTTACTTATAAATTGAAAACTTCTTGTGTTATATTGCTAATTTTTATTATAATAGAATATCCAAGAACCAATTGCAAATATATTACAAAGAGTTCCCCATATTTTAATCAATTGGATAATGATGAATTTTTTTATTTATATAAATAGAGCTTTATCGAAATTTGGTTTTAGAAAAATAATATAAGAAATTTCTCGTTTTAATTTGAGATTATTCGTGTACAACCTTATGCCTTATTTTTTAACTAAAATGTTAATAGATTATTACTAATTGACTTTGGATTATTATTTATAAATTACGAAATCGAAGTTTAAAGAAGCAGAATTTATTAATTGTTTTCTCAAAATCATAACTAAGGAGGCTACAATAAATTGCGAATAGCTATTATAATGAAAAGAGGGAAACAAACCAATGAGAGTATATAAAGCTTAAGAAAATATTCTAAGCAAAATTTAGAGCTGCAACACTTTTGAATTATGGAAATTCAACCAATATACTTAATGTAATTAGACCATATACTCGTAGCTAACATAGAAATTCTGTTGTTTAGCTTCAGCTTTTATTAAATGCAAAAAGACGAGGGTTCTACATATAAATTTTAAATTTTAGAACTAAAATTTAAAATAGTCAGCTGATTTTGTTTGCAACACTTTAATAAAAAGCTTCAAAACTCATACCTGCCGGTATAAGTTTAAATATATTTTGTTATATAAAAGACTCGCATATCCGAAAGTTTTTCTTATAAATTTCTCAGAAATTTATTTTTTATAGCAGTTAAATAATTTTTATAGCCTCTGTATTATTTGCTTTTGATTTTTGGTAAAACTAATATATTCTAAAACAACTACATATAAACATGACCTTGAAAATACAATGTATATACAAATGACATATATAATAGTCCTCGCTACACTATACTTACCATCACAAAAAAAACCAACGTCAACAAACTTATAAACTTTCTGTTTCTTTAAATAGCTAGTTCAGATAAACAAAATTCTTATAACATTAAAACTGACACTTGTAACGAAATTTAAAAACAAAATATATAAAAACAAAAAGTTGCATACTTTTAGGTGCAAAAGTTATTAAAAACAGCAATCCTTTATTATTTTTTCTCTCTTACATTACCACAAAATAAACATAATACTAAAATATCATCCTATAAATGTCTTGTTCTACATTTTATAAACATAAATATTTACACATTTTCCTTACATAACGTATGTATTAAAGCATTTATACATAATGTTAAACACACAATATGGCATTGCATATGAGAAAATTAACAACTTATTATTCCTATTATTTCGTATGTAAGTAAATATGTATGTATAACTTCTGCTTGTTGAATATATTATTATCAATCAAAAATGAAAATAAGGTCATTTATGTATACATATGTAAACAGAATATTTGAGAATTCAAATGCAGTATGATTTGAGAAGCACCTTTATAAAATAGCGAATTCTGCTTTAAAAAATTCAACTTAAAATAGGTTTTTGGACGAAATTTCGGAAATAGTTTTTTAATTCAAACGTGTTTTATAATTTTGATTCAAAACGAATTTTTAAGAAAATTTTAGATTGTTGGTTCGTCTGAAACAAGGTGGACCGTTTTTTTTAATACACTTTATTTGACATTTTGTTTGACAAGAATATAACAAATAACAAAATTGACATTTTAGAGAAACCTGCACACCAAAGGTTAAAGAGCAAGAAAATATATTAGCTCGTGTCGAGACTGATAAGCAAATGAATCAAAACTAAGAGACGTTTTTCTAAACTAATTCACGTTTTTTAAATAAATGCATAACTGGACAGACGAAAAAATGAGCTAATAGATCCATTTTTTCAGAATTTTTTTTGAAAATGCTCTAAAAACGAATGTTATGTATCAGGAGAGCGCATTGTGGTACAAAAATGAAATTTTTCTGTTATACAATTGCTTTAGCGCAATTTAATCTTGTATATACTGCGAGAAAAATCGAAAAATATTCAAAATGAAAAACAAAACACAGACAAAAGTGTTCTTTTTTAGTTTAAGAAATAACGCAATCCCTTTAGTCCTTTATAAGTCCTTTCCTTATGGTTTTTTTTCTCTTTACCTAAAAATTTTGAATTTTTTTTCTTACGTTTTCTTATCATTTGGTTTTTTCTCTTATATTATTGTTTGCTTTTTTTTTTTTGGTTAAATTAGGTCTTGTAAATTTTTGACACTCTCATATAATTTACTTTGTATTTTTTTTCTTTTTCGTTTTCATTTTGTACATATTTACCATTCATTCTATACGCAGGATAATAACACAGGATATGTAAATATTCAAGTTATATGTGCTAACAATGTTATATATGAATGTATAAATATATTTTGGCATTAATATAGAGGCACACAATATATATGTATGTATGTATGTAATGTGCTGTCATTGAAACAAATGAACAGAATTGCAAAAGAACAGCACAAAATACAAAAATATCTTTTAAAATAATAACATTGCTTTTATGTACAAACAGAGAAAATTATACGAGTAATAATAATATATGTGAGTATTATATTATGTGTAATACATTATGTACACATATCGTGTTTATATATAAATAATATTTAACAAAAGGCTCGTTCTTCTTTTCATTTTCTTCTCTTTTTTTATTCAAATTATTATCGGTGTTTTAAATGTGTGCATAAAATGTATGCCTTATAATCGTATTTAGGTACATCACATGTACATACATATTATTATGTGTTCTATAGTCACGTACATATTTCGAATCCACAC